TGACCAGTCTTTTAACTTTCTGGCTAGCTTCCTTGTAATCCTCTGCGTACTTCTCCTGCAGCCGTATCGACTTAGCTGCAAGCGGTCTTTTCTTGATTTCTCTCCGTTTTTCAATAGTATTCCAAGTTCCTTGCTGTATCCATTCTTTGCTTACATTCTTTTTCTTGACACCAAGACATGTCTTACTGCTCTCTGTGTAGGCCTCAACAATATGATTCCATTGGGTATTGACTTCATTTGTGTTAGGGGTGGTTTCTTCCAGTTCTTGGAGATCTTGAAATCGATTCTTTAGTTCTAGTCGGAAGGCAGATCTCACATTGCCACCCCTGAGCTTGTGAACATTAAATCGTGTCTTTGTCGCCTCCCTGATGAATGTTTTCTTCAACTTGAGTTTTATTCTTGCCGTCACTAAATGGTGATCGCTGCCGATATCTGCTCCTCTTCCGACTTTCACATCCTGTAGGGAACGTCTCCACATTCCTCCTATCATAAGGTGGTCAATCTGGTTCTTGTCCCAGCAATTTGGAGAATTCCAGGTCAGTTTTTGGATTGTACGGTGTGGGAAAAGGGTTCCGCCTATCACCAAGTTGTTCAAAGCGCAGAAGTCCACTAGTCTTTCCCCGTTCTCATTTCTTGTACCCGTACCATGTTGTCCCATCGTTCTCTCATAGTTGGTGTTGTCCTCTCCTACTTTAGCATTCAGATCGCCCATTACAACGATAAGGTCGTGACGAGGTATATCTGTCAATTCCTTCTGTAGCTGTTCATAAAAATAGTCTTGCTTTCATCTTCACTGTCGTTAGTAAGAGCGTAACATTGGATGATGCTTGTGTTGGTGTGCTTTCCCTTCAGTCTCAGTGTCATCATTCTGCTGTTGATCGGTTTCCACTCCATGAGGTATTACTCAAGTCCCTTTTTTAGGATGATGGCTACACCTTCCCTATGTTGGTTGTCTTCTCTGCCGGAATAGATCAGTGTTTCTCCAGTTGCTGTTCTCAGCCTGCCGGACCCTGTCCAGTGACTTTCACTTATGCCCAGAACGTGCAATCCATATCTCCTCATCTCTGCCGTTACTTGTGTCAACTTACCAGTGTCATACATTGTCCATACATTCCACAGTCCTGTGATAACTTTTGTCTTTGCGGTGTTCAGGACCTCCATCTTCCGGCAAACAGCTTCCTTGCGGCTTTCACTGCCAGCATTCATACGAGTCCCAAGGGACTCCGAAGGTCCATCACACACAGAAATATGGTTTCTCTTTGTTGCTGTTTCCGTAATATATGCTTTTTACCTGTCTGGGTTGTTAGCCCTGAGCTGAACCTTCGAAACCTGGAGGGCCGGTGGATCACGCTTCGTCTGACCTCTACCCGTCGACCTGTCTGGCATGGGTGGCCCAACAAGGTAGTGATCCACTAGAGAGAGTCGAGGAGAGTAG